GATACAATGCCGCTGACGGATTCGACGGGGGTCAGCTACTTTGTTTATTTAGCCGGCAGTACAACACTCCAAGCGAAAAGGAAATCGCACCATTTGTAGCTTCAAGTCCAGTTTTGAGTCGTCCCTCCCAAAAAAATCCTAAAAATCAAGGGAATAAATAGCCCGTCAACAGCTAATTCGACCAGGAATTAAGCATCGGACAACAAAGTACCAGCCATCTTATAAAGCGACTCCACTGACTTTTTATTTTTATACCCTTGCAGAGGGTATTATAATTTCAGTCAGAGGTTTGCAACACAATGAAGAAGACACCTGAGACCCCATAAAGTATACATATATACTTGATCACGATCCGAATCGATATACGTCTGTACGTCTGTCCGTCTCTGCGCCCGTCTGTTTCTATGTAATCTAGTCTCTCAGTTTAAATGCCGTCTTGCTGAAACTTTACCAAAAGTTGTGTAGTTATTGCACGCAGTATATAAGTCAGAACGGGCCGGATCGGGCGACTATATAGGATAGCTCCCAAAGGAGAAAATTAAATAAAATTCTTACGCAAATTTTATCAAAATCGGATAAGTATATCTTATAGCTGCCATAGAAAAATCGAAAAATCTATATATATAAGCATTTTTACAAATATTCTATTCTTGTTTGATATTATTGATTGTGTTTGATTTTCATGAACTTCAAGTTCATTATTTGATAAAATTTACCTTTTCAATTTTTTTGGTGTTCTTGAATACTTTCAAATCTTTAACTGTTGCTCTTAATTTCTAAAAAAAAAAAAAACTAGCCTACCTTAAGTCGTATTCTTCATCTTATATAAAATAACTTAATTATTTACTGTGTAATTGATGTACTCACTGCGAAAAAAAACTTGGTGCACTGCATCCTGATAAGCAGCTCCAAGTTACTTGTAAGATGATGTCAGCAATTTTTTTCTGCAACCAGTCAAATACACATCCAAAAACCTGAAATAAAAACAAAATAAATATTTAATTAAATTATTGCACTTCATTTACAAAAACCACGTCATCACTTATAACCATCAAAAATGGTACTCACATCTTTAGGTTTTGATGCACTGCATCCTGAAGTCCACTCCATGCAGGAAGGTATCGAGCACCTTTAAGTTCATGCCAAGTCATGATGCAGTGCATCCTCTACTCCGAGCAGGAGGATATACAAGACTCTATGCCAAGTCAAGTGATGATGCACTGCACCCTGATCCACACAGCAGGAAGCATCTGGCATCCATAAGCACAAGCCACGTTAGACCATGATGCACTGCATCCGGGAGTGGACTCCAGTAGGAGAAGTCCACCGGATACCCGCTCTCCCACTCTGGAACCACCTCCAACACACACGCACATACACACTTTTCCAGAGACCGGAGAGAGTTTCTCGGAGAAACTGCCGGTCATCCCGGAGAACTAAGAATTTGACCAAAATCATGTGGTATCCCATTAAGAATCAACCAGAACCACTTGAGAATTATAGGTGCAAGAAAACGTTAAAAAATTTAAATTATCATTTTCGATGACGTGTCCATATTAATGTTATTAACATTAAGTTAACATTTAATTTACATTATAATAAATTAACATTAAATTAACATTATATTTACATTATATGGATTTAAATTGTGATTTACCAAAATTGTCAACTTTTCTTTTCCAAATCAGTTTTTATGAACTTACTAAGGGATAAGTTAATTGACAATTAAATTGCAAAACCATTCGGTGGCATAGATGGTTGCGATTCTCTGGTTTTCAAATCTATACTCTGTTTGGCTGTAAGTTGTTTCTTGCCCAAAACAACCCAAAAATCATGTAAACTATTGCATAAAATAATAAAAAAAAACTTCGTTGATCTTAATAGAGAATGTCCTACATCGATGGATTCGTAATAAAATTTTTAATCGGCAAGGGTTTCATTTTTAATTTCTAAAGTAAGTAGTTCAAAAAGATGTCGTTATATGTATGGTGAACAACACCGTTCAATGTACCACCATACTTTGAATGTAAGACCCAGAAATAAAGTTCAATCCTTTTTTTCTATAGTTTACGAGTAAAGCGGATATCTCAAGAGGGTACGGATGATTGTGAATTGGGAACGGGAATGACCGCCCCATTCGATGAGTACTGCTCATTGCCTCGGCAAACACGATTCCTGTTCGACATTTTTTCTAAGCTTTGAGGGGATACGCATTCGTCCAAAGTAAACACGCTTTGAGTGGATGGATGTTGGCACAAAGAAAAGTCCAAAAGCGAGGCCCAAAGAGATTGAGCCATCCATCTGGTCATCTGACCCAAGTTGACTCCCTGGCCAGAGTTCGGCACTCCAGGGCCAAATGGAGCACCCTCTGGAGGATGCTGCTCTGTCCAGCTCCTTGGGTATTTATGCCAATTAGCTCTTGTAAATGCTAATTAGGAGCCGGAGCAAGAGTACACAGCTTGACGGGACAGCTGATAAATTAGCCATGAATATTCAGGGGCCGCGCGCAACAATATTTTCTGCAAATTAAATTATACATTTTTAAGCTGCCAAGCGCACAACTCAAAGGACATAGGACCAAAATGACGCCCTGGTTTTATATGCCTTTATATATATTATAGTTTTTTCAAATATTCAAAGTTTATTTTTAGCTTTTATATGATGTTCTTATCGTGTATCATTAAAAATATACCCAATAATTCTTGAATTTTTTCGAAGTGTAAACAGAGCCTCGTTATAATTATCCACTTGAATATGCAGCCTGTCGTCTTTGGTTTTAGAGCGCACCGCGATGATGGCCTTCATCATCCAGCAACGGTTACCAAGCCTACAGCCTACAAAAAGTCAATGACAAGTACGTTTTCCCTGGCCAGCGGTTGCTGGTTGGCAATGTTCCGGCAAATGCATTGCGCAAAACAGCGTGGAATTGCCTTTAAAAACGCATCAAATTATGCCAAAAGGAAAGCATTCACTCTGCGACGGAGCTGCCGCCCCTTCAAATTAATGCTCACAAAGCCCCGCCAAGGGGAGCGGGAGGTGGTGACTAAGTCTAGATGGCTACTTGGCGTATTTACCAGGCGCTTAACCGACTTTCTGCACGCACAGGACTCTTGCTGCATTACCACAGCCAACAGCCCAGCGCTCACCGCCCACCGTTTGGTGGGAAACATATTGGCAGAGCGGCTGCTCCACTCCGCTGGCAAAAGTGCTCCACAATGGCACTCGTTCAGACAATGTTAAATGCGCGTTCGTTGCGAGCTGTCTGTCAACTTGGCTCAAGTGGCCCCAGTCCCCAATCGCTCTGGCCAGAGCCAATAGCTGCTCCTCCGGGGCATCGCAGCCACTCGATCGATTCATTCCCCGCCTGACAGCGGCACAATGCGACCCGAATGCGGATGCGGAAGCGTAGTGCACTTGTCGCCATTATTGACATCAATGCATCGGAGCTGGCTTTTTAGCTGTCGCGCCAAATGAGGAGCGGCGGAGGGCGAAAGGGGCTATGTGGGTTATGTTGGCTGAACACTTTGGTGTAATTTCCAGTGAAGAACTAATGGGCGTGGCTTGGGCTTTGGAAACTGCCAAAAAAAATCCAGAACAATAGTTAGAAAATCATTCTGAGAAGAGTCAATTGGAACCTAGCCACATTTTAAAAATTAATACTGCAGTTTTAACTACAAAATCTGTACAGCCATTTATTTCAACCGTTTTATGTATTTCTGAGAGGTGAATTCGTGTTGATAGTGAAAAGCGTGTTGATAGTGTATTTAACGATTCGGGAAAATAAAAACGAGCATATTAAGAGCAATATTTGCCTTTTCTGCCGAGTCAAAAGAAGATACCCTTTCGCTTGAAAGCCATTTCTCTGACTTTACCCAATGCGCATTTGCGAAATGAGTTTTTTTCTCCAGGAAGCAGTCACCTCGTGGCGTTCGGAACAGATTTTACTGTCCGAGCAGACTCAAAAACCCTTTTATGCATTCTGCATACAGCCAAAAAGTTACTCAGCGCACAAATTGATTGCATAATACGTATACGTAATGCCGTAAAGGCCCCATTTCTGCCGGCGCACGCACAGCCTCATCAATAACTAAAGCCGTCAGCTTCGCCCTCCCATCGAAATGAAGGTGAAAAGTGGGCTGAGGAGGTGGGTGTGGCTGCCAAGTTGTTAGCACGCTCGACTGATGTTATTTTTTCCACCTTTATGAATTATTCGCAAACGCATTGATTCGTGTTCAGCTCAGTTCACCGCCGCACAAAAGCAGCAGGAAAGGAACTTGAAGGAGTCGAAGAAAAGGCGTTTTGCTGCGAAATTTTCATTTGGGTTTTATTTACGTTCAATCGAGGTTTCGCGAAATTAGTTAAGTTTCGCGTGAATTTTGTTATACTCGTACCTTGGCAAGGTAAAGTTCACATAGCCCCGCCTCGGGCGAGCAAACTTCTTAATTAAAAGATTTGCCCACTGATTGGGTGTTTGCCAAGGGAAAGGTAAAAGCAAATTCTGCGCCCGGATTGAAGCCATAGGAATTTATATTCAATTTGTTAAATGCATTCGAGTGCCATTGTCTGCTGAGATAATTGCCAGAGTTAAAACTGTGGTCGGTTGGCCGGATGAACTGCGGCCAATAGTTGGTGACCCCGACGGGTGACAGCGACTCCCCACCACAGACAGAGGAATGCCCACACCCACTCGCACAGGCTGGCCATAAATCTCATTTCAGTTTCGCATTGCGAGCGAAAATAAATTCATAGATATGAGCCGAATTACCCTAGCTGAACATTCGGCGTTGCACATTGAACAAATTTATTTACGGCAGTTTTCATTTTTACGACAGACCCTGCACAAAATAAAGACCAGTTCACTATAAGCCAACAGAATTCTGCACACTGCACACTAACGAAATTTTCCTAAATTTAATATCTGGCCCATGCCTGGATTTTCCCTTTAAGACAATGCTAAGTGCCCCTATAAACCAAGAAAAAAAGAAAACAGTATCATCAAATCCAGATTGACTAAAGATTTGTTTATTTAACAGCTAACCTTTCTTAGGCAATACTGCTTTAATTAATTATTATACAAAAAAACTTCCTTCGCAAAGCTAAACACTCTTAAGTGAAAAAAACTTTACTTTGATCCAATTACTTCCAAAACTCTTGGCAATATGCGCAGTTAGACACCATTGACATGACGCCTTTTACACATTTCAGGTGCTTTTGATTCTCAACTGGTTGAAGTTGAACTTGCTCATATATGTAGGGACAAGTTTGGAGCCGGGTTCCCTGCGAGGTCCTTGCTTGCTGCAAATTATGAGCAGGGATTAAAGGATTAAGACAACATTTAATTTGTTCTAATTTTCAACTTTACCAAGCGCTGTGGAAATGGCTCAAACTCTCGTTAGCTTCCCTCCTGGTCTGTTCGAGCTCGTCCATTTGGCGGCTCGAGTATTTCTGTTTCAGGAAGGACTTCAGTTGGTCGGCTCGCATGCGTTTTCGGCAATCCTGGCGTGCCACCTCGACAAACATTTTGGTCAGCAGCTCCTCCATCACCTGCTCGGCATTGGGCTTGCTCACCAGGCGGGGGTTCACGTAGTGCATCACCTGCTGCACGGTCTGCTCGTAGTCCACCGGCAATCCCGTCAGCCTGTCCAATCGGAACAGCTTTGGCAGGTTAGTCTTCGGTTTGAGCTTGGTTTGGACTGCAGTCCGCCGCCAGACACGCAGGTTCGGTGGCACAGAGAATTGCTTTGAAACTCGCCTCGAAGCCTTGAACCGTGTCTTTAAGAAGCGCTGCTGCTTTGGATTCCTTATGGGCACTTTCACCACCAAGTTCTTTCTCTTGCTACGGGCTTTACCCGAAATTCGCTTGGAGGTAAGCATTTCTGTCTCTGCCTATTTTTCAATAAAAACGATACAATTTTGTAGGGGTCCAAATATGTGTAGTGCCTCTAGAGGTGGAAAATTTCTAAACACCGCCTTCTCTATGCCAACTAGAGAGTTGAAACTTAAAAGCCTCGACAAAAAAAAATTAAATGGAGACACCAACGAGTGAGAAGGCGTTAGCCAACATAATTTCATACCGCGTCTTATCAACATTGCGAATACGTAATATTTTACTTACAGCCAAATATTACGTATCCGCAATGTTTCCGGTCAGATGTATTATTTTATGGCTAGCACGCACACCCAAGACGCACATCCATAATTTGTGAGCTGATGTGGCCACAGCTCAAATATGTGTAGTGCCTCTAGAGGTGGATAATTTCTAAACACCGTCTTCTCTATGCCAACTAGAGAGCTGAAACTTAAAAGCCTCGACAAAAAATAATTAAATGGAGACACCAACGAGTGAGAAGGCGTTAGCCAACATAATTTCATACCGCGTCTTATTAACATTGCGGATACGTAATATTTTACTTACAGCCAAATATTACGTATCCGCGATGTTTCCGGTCAGATGGATTATTTTATGGCTAGCACGCACACTCAAGATGCACATCCATAAGTTGTGAGCTGATGTGGCCACAGCTCAACTTAACTTTGAAACATTGTCACAAACAATACACGTGTGTTGCAATTTGCCTGTGATGTATCTGCTCTGCTGGTGACGTTGTGTGGGATGCGGGGTACCCAACGTTAAACCGCATTGTTTCAATGCAGCGATGGCGAGCAATATAAATTGTACATGAAAGCGGCATATGCATAAGTATGCAGATACGTTTAAATTATACGAGATACGGACAGCACGCAGAGTTAAAACTCCCGCCCACACACAAACGCGTACAACTACTATGGTGGCACACTCAGTTGGATTGCAAGCGCCGCAGCAGAAATAGAACAATAGCAATATAATTAATCATCCAAGAGCAGGCTAAGCAGAAACGGCTTGCTTTTAAGCAACAGCAAAACAACATCCCGATATCAGGATTCCAGCCGGAATTGCGACCGTCGCCCGTCAACCTCGTGGCAAGTCTTGAAACGACAATTGCAGACCAAATATTGTTGCAGCATTGGAAGCAACATAATTGTCGTCGACTGTTAGGAGAGTCGCATCTGAAATGCCCTACTTCAGTTGCAGATTGATTGAAGTTTGAAAGTTGTCAGTAGCATAAGCAGAGTGTCATTTTCTTTATAGTCATTATATTGTTTAGGATATTATCGTCTGTTTTGACCAAAGCGTTGCCCGAAATAAACTTTCCTTACCCGAAAAAATTCGCACACTGCAGGCCTGATTAAAGATTACTAATGGCACTCACTTGTTTATGGCACGGGGCGGGGCCAGGATGGGCGTGGCACTCAGTAGCGTTGTGTTCATGTTGCACAAAGATGCACTGCTGATGTAACCCGATGTATCTGCTGCTGCACTCTGTGTGCAATCAATTATGCTGGCAGGGCACCACCAATTCCAGACGCTCGCCCAAAACGATGCAGTGTGCAGCTGTCAGGAATCGGAAGCCCATCACCGATGGCAGCCTGACTACATTTCATTTCACTGGATTCCATTCGGAACTCTCAGGGGTTTATCCCCGGCTAAGTTCAATTAGAGCGGGTGTACGCAACGTGAAATTGGAAGGCATAAATGTCATTTTCTGTAACAAACGTCAAATTTGATTTTTTTTTTAAGCACACAAAGCCGGGCAGAAGCTTATACACCAAGGCAATGATTTCACACCTTTTCCCCTTCTCAAAGCTGGGGAGAAGGAAATGGATCAAATATAGATTTATGTGTTTCATGTCAAAATAAATGGATTTTACATGTTGCCACAAAGCGTTCCACGCTCGCCCGTCGCCAGAATCCTTGCGTCACACGACGTTAGGGCGCAGCGTCAGGACGATGACGACGAGCCAACCAACGGCTACAATGGCGACAACGCCCGACGACCGACGACCGACGACGGCGATGACAAACAGCAACAACAACGAAAATATAACGTGGCATTAAAATGTCATTTCATACCCATACAAACAAGCTCATATAACGCTTCCTTTCGTTTCGTTGGCGATGCAGGGCGGGTAGCGAAATATTAAGTTAATATGTTTGATCTGGAGAAAACTCCGCTTTGGTGCTTTGAAATTTAGCAAAGTGCAGACAGGATATTGGCAGCTGCTTGCAGCCACACAGGATATTAAAGCCATAAAGATGAAATATATCAGCACATTCCCGCTGGCAATCAGACCGAGTAGCTGCTTCCAGGTGCGGTATTCACCAGGATCCGAGGCTAGACAATTCGCCCTACAATGAGGATTATTCAAATTACTTTCTACTTGCGCTGTCTCCGAATTCGATAACCAGTCATCTCCGAGGAGGCCTTCCGCAGAACCTAAGAACCTTGCACGTCTATTTGTGTTTGCTTTCCTGATTTCCGATTCGCCATTCTATAGTATTCCCGTGCGACACATGATGCCGTGTCACATAATTTATCAGCGCGTTTTTGGCATTCAGCTCGCGTCCTGACATTGCCCCGAAAAGCCAACAAAAAATGCCTGCTCGCTGCCCTGCAGTGTCTCCAAAGTGGCACATGGCCTGCCCCAACTCATTCGCACACCACTTTGAGAAAATGCACGGAGAGCGAAAAGGCGTTTTGGCTTTAGAATTTATAATTGTAATTTTAAACCTGACGTAGCTCACTTTTATGCGCCTTCATTTAACAACCAACTTTTAACAAAAGCATCTTTAATAAGTAGTTGCAAGTAGCCCCGGTTTTTCCCAGTGCTGCAGAGGCAACCGCAGTTCGGATATGCCAGGTCCCTGGAGCTTTGTTTTCGTTTCTCTTCGTTCCTCCTGCTTTTCATTTTGATAAATATGTGGAGAGCAGAAATCTATCATTTCGCGTGTCGCATAAATAAATACATCAAGAGGCACCACCCGCTCCACCCTTCCGGGGGAGGAGGGACTTCAGAGGGCAAAGGGCAAAGGGAGCAGCACACAAACTGTTAATCAGCGGCAAAGGAGAGCTCCCTCCCCGGAGCTTGGGTTATTGTTGCTTTGGCTGTTGGGGAGTTGGCAATTTGTTTAGTCGTTAAACTTTTTTAGCGTTTCGTTATTTAATGCAAATTGATGATAACGGGCAACGCGCTAATGAGTGTAGAAATATATATACAAAGTGACGGGAAAAAGGGGCGGACATAACCCACTCTTTGGAAATACCCTAAACATCATCATACTCTTCGCTGGTATACAAATTTAATAAACGTCCAGTTTTCAGGGATCCATAGGTTATCAAAAGAAGCAAAGTACTGAAATAAACCTTGTCTACCTCTAATATTGAATGGATTTTTTACACACTTCTAAAAGGGCTCCTAGCTCCCACTAATTTATTTTCTACTGGACTTTCTATTTTCCCCTAAGCTTACACACATTCTTAAAGCCACATGTATCACGCACAATTGAAGCCCTGTGGTCGTCGTTTCACCCTTTTTGGTGCAACACCTTTTATGTGTCCGGGGAGCCGCAGTTTGTTAAATGAAATTCGTTAAAAGTCTTGCAGAGGAGTGGGGGAATCCCCGGATAAGAGAGTGAAATGCCCCGCAGCCAGCTGTTGGCATTGCCGAGAGCACTTTTCCTGCGTTCTCGGCTTGGCTTGGTTACGTGTGCAGTCAATTCCACTCGGCTGCCCATTGAAAAGTTTTGCACTTCGCTGCACAAAGGACATGAAGGCGAGCCTTCAGATGAATAAAGGGAAGGGAAGCATCATGGCCATGAGGGCGGGTGGTAAGTGGACCTTAATCGACGCGTGTCGGGCCAAAACTAAACACTAAGCATAATAACACAAGTTTGACTAACCTCCCACTGACGCAAAAATAATGTATGCGCCGTGGAAAGAATGTTGCAAGCTACACTTCCATTCTCGACTCATTCCTCTGACCTTTGGCACTTATATTAAATCACCACAAAAAAACGTCATACACCGAAAACAAAATTAGCATTTTATACCACCCAAACCTCGCAAAAACCGAAGGACGGAATCCTCCGAAGCGGGTAGCCAGTCCATTTCCTTTACTACCCGAAATACTTGATGGCCAAGAGCTCGATCGTAACATGTGGTATGGGGGCTGAACAGAGTGGGAGTGGAATGGAGTGCATATGACCGCCGGTCGGTGGTGATATGACCGCAAAACCAATACGAGTGCCAGGACGATTCGATTTAATGGAAACTCAACCGCAGAAACAGCAACAACTTAAGCGATTCAGAAATTGCAGCACACGCCGCCCAGCCCGCCTTCAATTGACACACTTTCCGAACAGCAGACACACTCTCGACGGCAGAAAGCAGCGAGAATATGGCCGAGATGAGAGGGCGTCCGGTGTCACGGGCCACGCAATTAGGGGGCTTTACCACTGACCGTCGAGCCTTGAACTGCGCTATCTGCAGCTGAAGTATGCGAAACCCATTACCGATATATTGAAACTTGGAAGTATTAAGCGAACGGCGAACCAGCAAAAACCCATGCGAACCGCGGCGCAATTACGGCCCAGAGCCGCGAGACCGAAGTCCGCAGTCCTCTTCAACGCGAGGGCAGTATCAATGATTCTAAGAAAATTATAAGAAATATGAAAAAGGTTATTTTATAAAGTAAAAAGAAAATAAATTTTGGTTTTAAATAACCCCACCACAAATGTTCAGAGGTATTGGCAAAGTTATGGGTTGCGAAAATGCCGTCTAGGGCCACCTTACTGCACATCATGGTAAACTTAAATAAAATCGGACATGAACAGAGGCCTAAAAATGGACCATCTGCAAACCGAAAACCTTGAATGCAGTTTCTTTAAGAATCCCACCACAAATGTTTAGAGGTATGCCACTTTGAAATCGCGTTAAAATTGGCGTAGTTATAAGTTGTGAAAGTTACCAGGGTTTCAGTGCATCTTATCAGCTGTTTAACTCTCATAAACCTTCGCGCAACCCTCGCCATTCTATACCTAAGCAATCGCACATTCAACACTCTTGGCTACACAGATGTAATAAAGTCAGTGAAAGCATAGCC